ACTATCGTAAGGGGGGGCTATGACGGGCCTGGGGTGGCATCCCCTCCCACCCCACTCCAGACCCCTCATAGCCCCCCCTTCTGATAGTCCGGCATATCTGATAATCCGGCACCCCCTGGGTCCTAAAGGTGCTGGATTATCTGAAGTTTACTGTAGTTGAAACTATAGTAAAGAATAAAATTTCAGATGCATAAATGAACATAATTGTTTGGGGGGAAAGCCAACATGGTCTGTAAAGGGAAATCATGCCTTACTAATCTACTAGAGTTCTTTGAGGGGGTCAACAAACATGTGGACAAGGGGGATCCAGAGTATATAGTATACTTAGATTTCCAGAAAGGCTTTGACAAGATCCCTCACCAAAGGCTCTTAAATAAACTAAGTTGTCATAGGATAAGAGGGAAGGTCCTTTCATGGATTGGTAACTGGTTAAAAGGCAGGAAACAAAGGGTAGGAATAAATGGTAAATTTTCAGGGTGGAGAGAGGTAACTAGTGGTATCCCACAGCGGTCTGTCTTGAGACCAATCCTATTCAATGTATTTATAAAGAATCTGTAGAAAGGGGTAAACAGTGAGGTGACAAAATTTGCAGATGATACCAAACTGCTCAAGAGAGTTAAGACAAAAGCAGACTGTGGAGAGCTTTAAAAAGATCTCACCAAACTAAGTGATGGTATTATGAGCTTTGGTGGGCACAGCCAACTTCTTCCGATGACTGGACATGTGTTTTGTTTTGTTTTGATTTGTTTCTTTGGACCCACAAAGCTCATGATACCATCTACATGTTTTGTTAGTCTATAAAGTGCTACCAGACTACTTGTTGTTTTTTAAGTTTATCCATAATAGAATGTGGTACATCTAAAAAAGTATTGGCATAATGTATAAAGAAGGCATGAAATGTTTGTGTGTATTTTTCTGTAGGTACTGGTTTATTATATCAATAATCCAGTTCTATGGAATAATCCATGACAATGAGAAAACTAAATGAAAACTTTAATTTTGGACTCTTGTTAAGCATTTTAAAGGAAAGGATTTCTTAGAATATAATATTTTTAAAAGCAGCAAATTAAGTAACTAAGAAAATAGCTCCTTGATTAGCCTCTCATGTAGTGATAGAAATTACAAATAACTGTACTCAGTAATATTGACAGTATCGTACTGTGTATAAAAATTCTAACCACAGGGTAATCCCCACTTACTTGCCGATAGTTGTAGGCTTCCAGGAAATAACACAAACAAATTAAATATAATTACTCTGAATATATTGCAAGAGGAAATACATGTAACATAGGGTATAACAATATTCTCAGAGTGACTGGTACCCACAATGAAATCAGTGTTTCCTGTAAACTGGGCGGCCACCCAGGGGAGATTAAGTGCTGCCCTGCTGATTAGCAGAGTGTCCACAACCAGCAGCATGTGTTTCTACTGGTGGTGCACATCCACACATGCGTCAGTCCACATAACAAAAAATTCTTCTGCACATCGATAGAAAAAATTAGAGGGAACATTGGGATCACACATGAATTTTGCTAGTCATGTCACCTGATAAAGCAAGAGTAAAATTTAGTGCCTCATAGTATTAATCCTTTCCAGGGTCCCATGATGACCATGATTTCATCTATGGACCAGTTAGCCACTTGGCTGACTGGGTCCAGTGCATCCCAAATGACTCATCATGGGATAAGATAAGTTCCTCCACAGATTTAAGTCAGTGGTTAATAAAATCCCCCAAACCCTTGTCCTCTGTCTTAAGGGGACAAATTAGGGAATAGAGGTCTTCCATGCAATATCCTGACTAACTAATGGTGCATTCACAGCTCCCCAGATATCATCAGGCTTAGAGATCAATCTGGACTTTTCAATCACTGTGCAAGGGCTGATTATAGCTGCTTGCAGGGATCCTCTTCATGCAGCAGTCGTATGCTCAAAGATAAATGAGAACAATATTTGTCCCTCCTCCTTGTATAAATCTTTTATATGCTTTAAATCTGTTATCTTCCCCCTTCATTCTTCTCTTCTTCAGTCTAAACAAACCCAGTTTTGTCAATCTTCCTTCACAGGACATGTTTTCTAGACTTTCAGTCCTTTTGTGGCTCTTCTCTGGATTTTGTCCAATTTTTCCACAGCTCTCTTGACACGTGGTACCTAAAACTGGATGTAATACTCTTGTTTGAGGCCTAATTGGCACTGAGCAGAGTGGAGGAATTACTTCTCGTGTCTTGCTTATAATACTTTGCTAATACATCCAAAAATAACTGCTTTTTTGCAACAGTACTATACTGTTGACTCATAGCTTGTGATCCACCATGATCCCCAGATTCTTTTCTGCAGTACTTTTTCCATAGGTAGTCATTTCCCATTTTATATGTGTGCCACTGATTGTTCCTTCCTAAGTGGAATGCTTTACATTTGTCCTTATTGAATTTCATTCTATTTACTTCAGACCATTTCTCTAGTTTGTTCAGATCATTTCAAATATCAGTCCTATCCTTCAAAGCACTTGCAATCCCTCTCAGGTTGGTATCATCCACAAACTTTATAAGTGTACTCTCTATGCCATTATCTAAATCGTT